TGGCCCTAAGTATTTTCCAGAGAAATCCTAAAACTCTTAAAGTCAGTTGTCAGCTTATTAGGCACAAATTTTATCTTTGAATTATTTTCTCCTTATCTTCTTATCTACTGCTGCCTCCTGTTCTTGTCCTTGGGATTTTCTGCTCACAGCTAATCTACCCTAGACATCTTTGAAAGTTTTCCTTCTCTTTTCATTTTTATTTCATGGGCATTGCTTATTTAGATTTCACTGTGAATGAACAGAATGTCCTGATTCTCTGTACTCAGATTTAGAAATAAACACAGATCCAGGACAATTCAGCCGAGGCCAGAGGCCTTGGGAGAAGTTGCCTTCCTGTAGTATGGCAGGTGGGCCACGTGGGAAATGACCTCAGCAGGTTGCTATGGAGTGAATGGCCTGTGGTAGGCACAAATCTGTGTTCATTTCATTCGACTTACCTCCCTGGCAGGCTTCTGAGGGCAGCAAGGTGGGGAACCGTAGAGTGCTTCTACATCTGTCCCCAGTTGTGTCTAGAATTAAGTGAATGCTTGAATTCACAGAACTGTGGAAAACAACAGGAATTGTATAACAATCTCAAATTTATTGTAAGGAAAATTAAAGTTGAATTACATGGTTTTTGGAGGGACTGGAGAAGAGTACCTCAGGTCAGGCGCTGCCTTGCACATAGCCAACCCCAGGTTTGATCCCCAGCACCCCATGTATTCTCCCTGAACACCTGCCACTTAGAGTGATCTCTGAGCACAGAGCCGGGAGTATGGTCTCAGCATCACTGGGTATGGCACAGCCACCCTCAGTTTGGTTTGTTTGTTTGTTCTGGGGCCATGCCCAGTAGTGCTTAGGGCTCCCTCCTGGCTCTACGCTCAGGAATCACTTGTGGTGGGCTCAGGGGATCATCTGGGATGCCGGGGACCTAACCCAAGTTGACTTTGTGCCAGATCATTGCCCTACTCGCTGTGCTATTGCTCTGGTTCCATTTTTTTTTCAAATTTTAAGATATTAAGGACCTTCCAATCAGGACTCTTGTGGACCTAGGGGCCACTCCAAGGCTCTGCCCTCCTCTGCGTGGAGATAGTTCGGTGATCAGGCTTGACAGTGTACTGCGGCTCAGGTGCAGAGTGCTGGGCCACCAGAGCTTCTCTCACAGTGCTCGGGGCACTGGGCTAAAATCAGAGACCATGCAGTTTGGGCACTCAGACTTGGGCCTTCCACATGCCAAGCGTGTGCTCCTTACTTTATGCTTCATCACCGGATCAGAGTGGAATCTTTGATAGTTCAGTACCAGCGCTCTTCATAGGAAGAAAGGTAAGAGCAAAATCTTGTCTTTCAAACTAAATTTTGACGGTTTACGTTGACTTTGCTATCTCAGCAATTATATATCTTCAAAGAAAGCCGTCTACTCTTTACGGTATTGTAGAAGCCTCCCACATTTAGAGTAATTATAAGCTGAGTGATTTTTCTTGGTGGAATAGCTTAGCTCTGTTCATCTCGGGGCCTAATTCCCAGGCTGTTGTTTCACAGAGCTCATTTCATGCAGATTGCACACATCAGTGACACTGCCCTTGGATGGAGAGTACAGAGGAGGGAGCGCCCTGAGCCTGGCAGCCCATCCCCTGCCCTCCTCCTTGAGAGCCCACCTGTGTGGGCATGGGGGCCGCTCCCCCAGTCTCAAACGCGGAACGTTTGATTAGAATCTCTGGGGCCTTCTTAGTCCTAACCTTGTGTCTAGTACTGACATTGAAGTCAAGCGGGATTTTCCCATGCCTCTCTGGCATTGCGTTTAGAGCATTGCAGCTGGCATTACGTTTAGAGCATGAGCAGTTCCTTAGTAATTAGGCACAGAGTATTTTTCAGAAAGGCAATTTTGAGAGGAAAGAAATGTTACTTCTGTGACATCATGGAAAGGTAGGGAACCATAGCAAGCTAAGTGAGCTTGTTTCTCAGATGGCAAACATTGCGGTTTGCTCATCACTCCCCATCTTATCTGGAGACTTTTAATGACCATGGTAATGATCTTGCCGATTTCATCTTGGATTGTTTTATTTCAAAACCTCTACTTTATTTTCTGTCTAACTTAATGTGGACCATTACAATAGCCAATTAAAAATTCTCTGAATGAACTATCAAAGTTTAGAGGCTCAAAGGAGTTAGCTATTACTTTTCCTCCCAGAAAAGTAAGATTCACAAGCCACATCAATTTATTGTGTGTTTCTAACAATTTCTGTTCATTAGTGCTCTCAATTTTATAGGAACTCTACTCCAGAGATTTTGTTTGAAATCTTAATAACCCAGAATACAGTGCATTAGATATGATTAAAGCCACTATTAGAAAAGATTTGATCAGTTGCTTATACTTTTACATAAAACAAAATGGCAATAGCAATTTGAATTTTCTTACTCACTGATGAGCCTGGTGGTTTTCCAGTCTCTTTTAAAGATGGATTTAGTTTTGGGCAATTTTGGCAGTCTTGTTTTTTTTTTTTTTTTTTTGAGTAACCTTGTAAGATTCTGCTACCTGGATTCAGATTGTAGGATTCAGAGTTAACATATTGGGAATCCTTCCTATTTGTGTGGGTGTAGGCTGGTGGTTTGGGGACTGTGACACTGCAAAAGAAAGTCATTCATAGGAAATGACAAACATAGAGAAGTTTGTCACATGTAGCATATACCTTTGTTCTCATGAAGATCCCTCTTAGGAGTAGCATTACAATGCAGTACACTAAAGGTGGTCCGAATTTAGACCCTGTTGCCCAAATTTCAAACCAGTGCTGGCAGGCTCAGTGCTCTGAGGATGAAGGAAGGGTGTAGTTGTAGGTGCTCATTTGTATAGAAAACAATGAGTGCCAAAAATATTCTAGAATGAAGTCAAATGTCTTATCATAAGGTAATTTGTAATAGTAAAAACTTTCTTATAGAACGATTCTAATTGGGATAACTTGGGTTTCGTAAGCATGACTGATGCTGAGCTCTCTCTTTGTAGGGGACCGAAATAGCACACACATTCACAGCTGTCCCATTCATCCTCTGTGCCTTGATTTGTTTCAAACTTTCAGTTAAAACTGTTGAAGATTTTGTACTCAAATCTCTTCTGATCTTGATTAATTCTTCCTTTTTTTTTCAATAATGCTCATCTAGGAAATAGTATTGTTTCTTGGGGTGCTATTTTGAGTAGGGACCATACGTGGCATTACTCTGCACAGCTGTGTAGACCTTGGTTTGGAATGTGTGGCTTGCCAGGGCTACCCTGGGGTGGGGGTGGTGGTTATGTGCCAGAGCTTAAATTCAGAACCTCCCACGTGATCGGCACACATCCCTGCCACTTGACCTAGCTCCCCAATCCTTGCATGGCTGTTTTGTTTAAATCTGCTGGAGGCAGTTGCCATAATTGGGAGACACAAAGCATCAGCACAAACCTACTGCTGAATGTATAAAGGGTTGTCTTCTGTGGAATTTTCTGGAAATCTTACCAAGTTGACAGCCTTTGTAGATTTTCCAAATCCCTTCAACCAATGAGAAATCTATAGAAATGTCATCCTATCCCTCTGGATATGTGCCCAGTAATTAAGCATTGAGTTTTATTTCAAGGAAAGCACATGTGTGCCACGGATGTGTGCATGCCCATAATGTATATAAGCCAAGGAGTTAGAAGCCAGTGCTCCTCACCAAGCCTTTTCCTGTTGTGGTTCACACATCCTTGCTCACTTGGCTCCAGGTCCGCAGTAGTCCTGAGCCTCCCACGCTGGGCAGGCCTGGAGCTCGGGCTGTGCAGGTGAGGCCTCTGCTGGCCTCTTCACCCAACAGTGAGTGTCCTCACCTGCCATTTGCTGTTGCATATCAAGTACTTCTGGGGTGGGAATAGGGATAGCAGTTGTTCCAGAAAGAATGGGACTTCTAAAAGAACAAATGTAAGGCAGGTTGAGCAAACAGTTCCCAGATCCCTTGATCATACACTTGGGCTTTCTCTGGAGAGTAGGGGCCTTCCGGTTAGTGCTCCTGGGGTTGCAGGGCCACTCCCAGTTACACGCGGCCACTTGCGCTTCAGTGCTAGCGTGCAGTGCCCCTCATGTCGTCCCCTGTGCTGGGCTACCCCAGGGGTGCATGGGCATCTCCACAGCCACACCTCATAAGACCTTGTAGTGCTAAGGGGTATAATGCTAGGGATCTTTCTGGGTACCCTCTACTGTTTCCTCAGCCAAGCCAGAGGAGTTTTGAAACTAAATGATTGTGGGTTTGGCATGTGGACTGCCCCTGTTAAACCCTTTCTTTGATAAGCTATCTTAGGACATCCTGAGGTGGATCCAGATCCTCTTCTCCTTAAAGGGAACTTTTGCTCATGCCTGTGGTGACGTCCTTAATGAAAGTGTCAGCTGACCAGTGTGTGCCCTCAAAGGTTAATCTTCAAAGGAAAGGAAACACCAGCCCAACCAATAGGAGGTTGTTAAAACCCTGTCCACGTCATGCATCTGTGTGGCTGAGGCGCCTGATTTGAGAAGTTCTAAGGCCTGGAGAAGGCTGTCTGAGGCACCCTGGGCAGCTACACTGACAAGGTCATGGAGAAATCATCTTTTTGTCTTGTTTTGTTGGGTTTGAGTTTAAGTAGACTTTGTGCTCAGGGAGTACATGAAGCGGTTCTTGCGGGGGGGACAGTCTGCGATGCCTGTGAAGTTAGACAAAGAAGGTCCCTCTAGGGACAGCTGCTTTCCTCTATTTACCAGTGTCAGCATGGAGAATAATTCAGGTTGCACAAGTACCCCTCTCCCATGGTCTTGTTATTTATACTTCACCCGGACAGCCTGACCTTTATGGAGCTAGCTGGGTTAGAAATAAATTGTTGTATGACTCATTAATGATCTTAAGTTGATGAATGTGTTCAAACTGTATGAGAAAGTGGGCACTTTGGTGGGTGAGGAATGGGAGGTCTGGGATACAGAAGCCCCCTAACCACCTGCAAGGGGTTGACATGCAGGCATGTAATATTTTTGTTGCATCTTTTGTTTTCACAGTGAGAGAAAAACGCAAGAGCCTCTTCATTAACCATGTAAGTGAAGCTGTCTGCCTGTATCCTTCGTAATTACTGTCCATGTAAGGTGCTTAAATGACCATGTCCCGGCTGGGTGAAAATGGTTCATGAATTTTATTGATACTTTGAAGAATGCTAGAGTACTCATGATCAGTTTGGTTTGTATTTAGGCAAGCATGGCATGGTATTTAGCTGCTGCCCCCAATGTTTTGTTAGAAGCCACACAGAGCTATTATTATAACTGAAGAGATCCACATTAAAAGACATTTAAAAAATTTTCAATTCGTTCCTTCTCTCCCAGTCCCTGAATTACTCTTTGTCTCTTACTCGGTTTCACTTGAATAAACACATAATTGTTTTCCATGAGGTTCTGTCTATACTCTTTTCTTAAAAACTTACTATGTTCAATAGAGTATTCAAGTTCTTTGGGGGGCTCAGAGTAGGATAAGGTTAATAGCATGTTAATTTTAAAGAATTTAATTGTGAGCCAAACAAAAAAAGTACAGGGGATTAAGGTGGTGTCCTTGCATACAGCTCACCCAGGTTCAGTTCTCGGCACTGCTATGGTCCCGTGAACTAGGAGTGATCCATGTGCACAGAGCCAAGAGTAAGGCACCAGTGAATAACATTTGTGAAATTATATTTTCTAAGGAAAATATGCTGAATAATACCTCTTTTTCTCTTTTCCTTTATTATCCTTAGTAGTTATCTTTAGGGCTGGAGCAATAGCACAGCGGTAGGGCATTTGCCTTGCACGCAGCCGGCCCGGTTGGCCCGGGTTCAATTCCTCTGCCACTCTCAGAGAGCCCGGCAAGCTACCGAGAATATCTCACCCACACAGCAAAGCCTGGCAAGGTACCCATGACGTATTCGATATGCCAAACACAGTAACAACAAGTCTCACAATGGAGATGTGACTGGGTCCGCTCAAGCAAATCGATGAACAATGGGAAGACAATGCTATCCTTAGTAGTTTATAATTGGTCATAAAAACTTGAGTGCTTTTCACTCATTCTGAAAATCCTTCCTTTTAGCTCTTTGTCTGCTGAATATACTTCATCTTCCCCACTCATTAATAGACTTGATCAGAGTTAATAAGGGAAAGAGAAGAGCCAGAATCTTTTATCAGTAGTGTAGCTTCATTAGGGTGTGCTGAAGAAAGGGGAGGATAGGTGTTTATCCTGACCCCAGCCAGTTTTGATTGTGGTAAAGAAGACAGAGGTGTGTTCTCTCATGCTTACAGTCCATATAATTTTATATTGGCTCCTACTTAGCCTCGCACTTCTATCACCCATGGTGCTGGCACCTGCAGTACCCAGGTAGTAGCAACAAGCCAGGGTTGCCCCTCATCACTACTGGGTGTGGCCTCAAAACAAAACAGTGGAATTACTCATTTGTTAAAATCTGCTTCAAATGCGCTCTCCATGTTTGAGAGAAATCTCTGTGCTAAATGTCTGACCAAAAACCAACTACCAGGTAACAGCCTGAAACTCCAGTCTGCACACTGAGCAGGTTGGGAAGAGCCCTTCCCCCAAGTGGGGCAGACGTTGGGGGAAGCACCTTCCAAATGTGCTATTCCAACCAAGTGCATTACCTGCAGGTTCCATCAGGCTAATGAACCAACCATGGTACTCAGATTTTTAAAAATTTCATGATAATAGGCTAAAATAATAAAGGCTAAATAAAATTTAGTATAATTTATAGAGATCACATTTCTGCCCTGCTTTAAATTGGTTCAGGGATGTTGTTTCTTTAATTTCCAAGTTTCAAAACAACCTTCATACTTTTTTTGCTAAGGTAGTGCGTTTGCCTTTCACATGGCTGACACGGCCGACCCCAGTTTGATTCCTCCGTCTCTCGCAGAGCCCGGCAAGCTACCGAGAGTATTTCACCTGCATGGCAAAGCCTGGCAAGCTACCCGTGATGTATTCGATCTGCCAAACACAACAAGTCTCACAATGTTTCTGGGCCCGCTCGAGCAAAAATCGATGAACAACAGGAGGACGGTGACAGTGACAGTGACCCGTTTCTAAAGAATAAGAGCAGTGGTTATAAATTAGCCATTTAAGAGAGTTAGGATGGTCTACCTCTGTCCCTGAAACCATGATAACCCCTCTAATTAAAAGGGAAATTTCCATCTGATGGTAGAAAAATAGATTTTTTTTCTCATTTCTGGCCAATAACACATTATCAAAGAAGGGAGTAGACTTTAGGGACATTCTCTAGGGAAAGGGCATATAAAGAATGGAACTCAACCTAGAAAAAAAATGCCTTTAATTAGCTTAGAACCACCTAGAAAATTTAAAGAGTTGAGTAAAGGGAGACTGCTTCTCTAGGAATTATTACAGGCATTAAAGCTTAAAACCATCCAAGAACAATCCCCTCTGAGAGCGTTGACAGCTAAATCAGGACAAATTGTATTGTAATCAACACTTACGTTTTAGATGTAATTAGAATTATGTTACTAGGAAAATTGGATGTATGATAAAAGATATCTTTTGGTATTTTTAAATGACTCATGTAATAAATTTTATATACAGTTTGTGCTTTATTTAAGGACTTACTTTTTGCTTTGCTCTTTAAGGTTGAATGTTTTAACGAATGTTTTAATTAAAGTGTGAAAATTCCTGGTTATAAATGGAGGTGGATGGAGTTTGGAACTCTTTCCTAAAAGTTAGGAAAAACTCATCATGCCTTTTCCTTTAATTTGTTCTGTGTTGCCATATGGTGACAGCATATTTAAAGTTACCTAATCTAAGAAGTTAAAAACTAAATGCTGGACTAAAACAAATTTAGGTATTTGCCTCATGCAGCACAGTCATAGTTTTTGTCTCAGTAGTGAGATGGGTGAACTATCTGGGAACTGTGGGAGGAGTTAGAGTACTCAGGTGTGTTATATGTAATATTTGTAGCTGAACATGGAACCAAACTAGATCTACCACCCACTAATTGGAGGTCCTTGAAGAAGTCATGATATTTCAGTTCTCTTATGGAATTGGTCACACTTCCTCCCCTGTGTGACATCAAATGGATAATGGAAAGGAAGATGATTTGCATGCTAGGTCTTGCACCATGTACTATGTTGATGATGGTCATTTATCCATCAAAGTACAGGCAAATTCTATTTAATATCAAAATGGATGAAAATGTTTTGAGTACAGATTCAATTTTTTCCCCTCATAGTTATTAAGACTAGGATGGGATGCTTTGGGTGAAGTTTATTCTTTTCAACTCCATTTGGGAGTACATATAGGCTTAGAGGTTGTTTGGTTTTGCTTTATTTTGGGGCCATACTCAGTGGTACTCTGAGATGACTCCTGACTCTGCACTCAGGGATCACTCCATGCAGTGCTCGAGGTGCCAGGATTGAACCTGGGTTGGCAGTGTGCAAGGCAAACTGTCCTATCCACTGTACTGTCATTCCAGGCTAGCCAGAGAGATAATGTAGTTTTCTTAAATAGCTCAGTTCCAGATTGATTTCCGACTTTCACCTTTGAATGAGGTAGGGATAGATTCCTTATAAAATAGTCTCTGTTCTGCGATTTTTTTTTGCTTGGTAAGTTTGTGGAAATTAAGGAACAAAATGAACTTGATCAAGTAATTGGATTTTTAAAGCATAAATACTGCTAGAGCCTCTTCGGGAGATAACCTCTTAAGTGAACACAGCTTTTGTGAGGTTGCCTTGGCTGGTGGGTTAGAATGAATCCCTAGTTTAGTTTTTTATTTCAATAAGATCCTTTAAAATTCAGTCAAGTAAATGAGTCCATCTCTTTTTGCAATTACTTCAAATTCACGAGAATTTTGCATCAGCAATACAGAGTACAAGGTTTCCACACCTCACAGTTCCCATTTCCTTGACACAGGGATGTCGATTAAGACGCTGTGTTAATTTTTTCTTCTTTTAAATAATATTTTTCCTGTAGAATATCTAGAAGCAATAATGCTATACAAACACAAATGCTGATAGAGATGAGAGGTTTCCTTGTTTGTCTGGGATGTGTCTGTAGAACAGTTTGTGACTCTTCCCTTCATCCTGCTCTCTTGTTATGAGACTGAGTGAGTTGATGTTTGGGCCGTGTAATGGTCTTTGTGATATAGGAGACCTGACAAGTTCAGTTCTTCCTTGCTACCTTAAGAGGTAGTTTTTTTTGGTGTGTTTGGTGGAGTGTGGGGAGGGCACACCTGGCAGTGCTCAGGGATCACCCTTGGCTCTGCACTCAGGATTTACTCCTGGTGGTGCTCTGGGGATGCAGGAGATCAAATCCAGGTTAGCCATGTGCACGGCAAGCTCCCTACCTTTTTACTAGCTCTCCAGATCTTGTGCAGCGTGTTAGTGTCTGGTAATGAATGGTTTCAGGCCAGCATTGTCTGTGGTGTTTACTGGTGCCCTGGGTCTCCTTCAGTCTGTATTTCTTTCTCACTCTGTTTTCTCATCATAAAATGAGAATATCCTCTGGTCTCATTTTGTTCTGAGACTGGCCCCCTACCTCTGCCTCCCTTCTCCTGTGCTCCCGCCCACCTCTGGTCACATGTGGAATCCTGCCTCCTCTTGCAAGATCTCAGACCTCAGATACAGGAGTTTTTTAAAAAATTATGTGGAGGTAGCGTTTTTTTTTTTCCCCACGAACTTTTATGATTTCTTTCTTTTTCTAGTAATAAGTTCTCGTGGCTTTTAGATGATTTTTATTTGTTCCTAATAAATTCTTAAACATCCTAATAAATCACAGTGTTTTTGTTCATCCATTGAAAATGCTAGATTAATGCACAGAAGCCATTAAGTGATTTGAGTTTACTGGAGAGATAACACATGGGTTAAGGTGCTTGCTTTGCATGTGGCTGATTCTCCCTCCGAGCCTGCCCACACCCCAGTGAGCACATCTGTATGCTGAGTGAATCAGTATTTTAGATTTGACCTTAGGAACATTATTTCTCAGGCCGTTTTTTAACTTAACTGGGAAATTTTTTTTTTTAAAGGAAGAAATTTCTACCTGCTTTTCTAGGTGTTCGTGAGCTGAAAT